GTGTGTGTGTGTGTGTGTGTGAGTGAGTGAGTGTGCTTTCATACACGATTTGATAAACATGTTCATATATACATTTTACAGGTCAGATACCTTCTTCGTCTGACTCATCTATGTCAGATATCTGGTCTCTGATGGGTTTTGAAGACACCGTAGTATCAAGTGCAGACGATTCATTCGAGGTTGCAGACGCTCTGCGAGTCATCACAAAATTTGACTTGCTCAGTTTCGGTTGTAAACTCATTTTTGCTAATATTCAGCAGCCCACTCTCAGTCACCAGGACAGCGATGACAATAGGCAGACTAAATGGCCGAAAATTGTGATTCGCATCACAGGTAACGAATCGGTAGGATCCAGAATGCAATATGTGTCGATGGATATAGTATTGAATATTGTATTGTACGGCACCCAATTTCTCTATCCAACTTGACGTATTTGCCTTTTTGGATGCTTTTATTTGTTTGAAAACTTCAAAACTCATAGCCTTTGAAAAACTAAATATTTCCTGATTTGGGAATTTAAATTTTATTTTGCTCGAGATTAAACTGACTCTTTATGAGTCTCGACTCTCGAGACGTCGAGATGCTCCCAATCTCAATTTCTTATAAATACACATCAGGTGGTATCAACGCAATTCATCCATCAGCGATTTAGAATTTTAGGGAATCTCCGAAAAAGCCTGGGAGTCTGCGAAGCACTTCTACACAGTAAGCACATGTCATGTATGCGAGGGTGTAAATACACCTTAAAAATTATGTTATCGGGCGGGTTGTGCTCTTCTTGTGTGTTCGAGTCCAAAGTAGATTGCTCGAATTCTCAGGGCCAATTTAAGGATAAAAAATGTGTTAACTAGTTTGTGAATCTGACAAGGTTTTACGAAATTCGCATAACTTCCCTCTTCATTCGCTCCAGTATAACTTTATCAGACAACCAAGTTTATTCCCGGTTGTGCAAGCATAGCGATAAGTATATAAATAAATATTTACGTAGTCACAGAACTTGCGCGTTGTTGCATACGATATTGCCTATTTAGGGGTTTTAGTGTTTATTTTTCTTTGTATCGTGTGTATATTTTTCTATTTTTTAAAAATTGGTTATGAGTAGTGACCTACAGGCTACAGTTGATGACAGGTCTTAGTGTTGTTGGGTGACTTTTCTAACCCTGGGAACCCTGGGGTTCCCACTTTATTATATTTTTAACGATAAATTTCCTTCTAAAACAACCCGGTGTGCATAGCGCATTGATCAAGTATAGCGTGACCAATATGCTAATGTTTTAAATTCCTCAAAGTGGGATGTCCAGGAACTTGGAAGTTAGAACTTGAACTTTGTATTATTTAGTCAACAAAACTGCTCTTTGGTTATTGCAGCTAATTTCGAAACAAAAATTGTACTGTATATAAATATTTATATTTTATTGTTTCAAAATAAATTAAATATGTGTTCAAAGTTTATCCAGCCGTACCAAAGGTCCAAGCCGGGAAACTGTTCCGGGCTTTTTAAACAAAAACAACGTGGCAAAAATCCAGGTTAAAATATTCTGATTTATCCACTCTGAAGTTGTAAAGAGTACTCTGTCATGTATGATCGGAGTAGAATAGCAACTTATCTTTCAGCATATACCAAATTTCTATGACTAATCTGCGGTGAAGTATGTGCCTTGTATTACTCGTTTACTCTTTGAATTCGTTGGCTTCTGCTTCGGCGCTGCTCGAGTCGGCCGTCGGGTTCATAGTTCATATTCCGAAATACATACACGTTTGTTCTTTGATTTTTAAAAAATTTAAAAAACAAACAAACAATAAATAGTATAGCCTT